GGGATCGGTGGGGTGAGCTCAGGGATCTGTGGGGTGAGCTCAGGGATCGGTGGGGTGAGCTCAGGGATCTGTGGGGTGAGCTCAGGGATCGGTGGGGTGAGCTCAGGGATCGGTGGGGTGAGCTCAGGTGGGACGGGGTGGGCTCAGGGAGGTGGGGTGCAGCTCTCGGGATAGACCGAACCCCCGGGAACGGAGCAGGAGATGCGGTGAGTCCCGAGCTGGGCTCCGCGGGGCGGAGGGCGAACGGGCAGGGCTGGAGGGACCGAGCGGCTGCAGCTGCCGGGGAACGTCCCCGCTCCAGCTCCCGCAGCCGCGGCACCGGAGCTGGACGCGACACCGACACCGGCACCGGAGCTGGACCCGACACCGACCCCGGCACCGACCCCGGCACCGACACCGGCACCGGCACCCCGGAGCCCTCCCGGCCCTCACCTCTGCGGCCGGCACGCCGCAGGCTCCGTCGCAAGAAGCTGCTGATGGAAGCCATGGTGGTCCCGGCGCGGTCCCGGCGCGGTCCCGGCGCGGTCCCGGTGAGGTCCCGGCACGGTCCCGGCACGGTCCCGGCGCGGTCCCGGCGCGGTCCCGGTGCGGTCCCGGCACGGTCCCGGTGCGGCCCAGACCGGCCCGGGGGAGGGCTCGGCTTCCGCCCGCCGCGCTTTCGCTTTCCCGAGGGAGGAGGGACGGCACGGGGTGGGGAGGAGGAGGAGCGGGGACAGGGCAACACCTGGCAGCGCCGGACACCTCCGGGGAGGGGGGACATTGAGGCACGGGGTAACCCGGGAAACCGGGAAAAACGGGCACGGGGGACCCGCGGGCATCGGGAATGAGGGGAGCAGGGAGCCGAGGATGACAGGAGGAACCGGGGATGTGAGATCCGGGAGTACAGGACACGGGGGTAAGGGAAGAACTGGGAATGGGAATGGGCGCACTGGGGAGGAGGAGTCGGGAGCACCAGGCACGGTCCTCACCAGTCCTGGGAGGAACCTGGATGCGGGGGAGCATCGGGAATGGGGGAGACCTGGCTGCAGAAGAGCAGGAGCAGGTACGGGGGTATCGGGACCTGAGACCCAGCGGGCACGCTGGTCGTTTAGGCAGCGGGAATGGGGGAGCTGGGAACACCCCGAGTTATGAGGATGCCAGAAGGAACCGGGCCGGGGACATCCAGGAGGATCGGGCATGGTGACACCCAGATCACCGGACACAGAGGGGGCTGAGCATCCCCTCTAACGGGGCTGGGCATCCTGGTGGGGCCGGCCTAGGCTGGGGTACAGCTGCGACTGGGCACAGCGTGGGAATCGGGACGAGGACACTTGGAACAAGGCTTGCCCTACATCACAGGGGACAGAACTCATTCACCAATGCTGTATGTTACATTCCCCAGTGCTCCAGCATTGCTCAAACCCTGCTCCAGCCTCCCGGCCTCCCCCAGTCCCTTTTCTCTCCGGGACCCAGCAGCGCAGGGAGCGGAGCCCAGCGCAGCCTCTGCAGGGTCGGAGGTGACGCTGACCCGTCCCCTCCAGGGTACAGAGGTTTTGGTGTCTGTCACCTGCAGTGTCGCAGGGAGCCAGCCCATCACCCGCTCCGGTGACTCCACCGTACTTCATTCCCGTGCCGTGGGCTGGGAATGCGCTCGTCCTGATCCATCGGGCTGTGCTTTACCTCGGGCTGGCGTTTCCCTACCGGTCAGAGATTTATCCTCCCTCGCAGAGATCCCGAGACATGCTTGGTCGGAGGCCGGTTACCATCTGCCTTCCCGGCAGGAGAGAGGAGCCGTGTCCTGCTGGAGCGATCCGGGGTTTTCCTGTCTCGGGCACTGCCGGGGCACGGCTCGGATTTACCGGGTGGTTTCACTGCACACACCAACAGGGAAAGTCCCTTAAAAACCAAGGGTATCTTTAAAAGAAAAATCCCCCTTTCCCGTTCTCAGCCTGTCTGCCAATATTTCCTCTGCTGTTTTTGAGTAGTGCTTATGCAGTAACTAAGATCCATTCCAAGCCAAACAATTCTCTGATCCGAAAATTGAAGTAATGAATATCTTCTGTGATCCTAATTAAACACACAGAGGGACCTTGGGCTCAATTACCAGTTATTGGACTCCAGGTGTGATGAGCTGTGCACAGTTCCCAGCCCCGGTGCCAGTGTGGGGCCGTTTGTGGCTGTAGAACAGGTTCCCTACACCAAACGTCCTCATGTTTTTTATTTTGCAACATCTCCCATCCCTCTCCCTTTCCCGAGTGTGGGCTGGAGCTCGAGGATGGGTTTGCAGCCTCTAGGAACGGCCTTTGCCAGCTTGCAGAGGTGGTGGATGCTTCCAAAATTCATCCCCAGCAGGACACGTGCCTCTGATTCAATCAGGATGCTGCCTTCTCACAGGGGCTATCAGGGAATTGCTGCTCCACGAGTCATTTTCTGGCTTATATTGAGTGGGTGGGAAAGCATTTCTCCTTCCCGGAGGAGAGAACAGCGTGTTTGTTTGTGCACAGGGCTTGTTCCCAGGACAAATTTCCTCTTGGCACCAAGGGAAAAGAAAAAGGGGTTTTCCCCTCGATTTTGGAGAAATACGCTTGCTTCCTGGAAATTTGCACCACCTTAGGAAAACAGCTGCTGCTTTCAGCCAGACGAAAACCCCCGAAATTCTTTGATTTTATACCCATAAACACATTTTTTTCCCCTTGCTTTCTCCCTTTAAGGCAGGTCTCTTAATGCCATCCCGCCTCGATAACGCCGGGATTCCTCTCGGGCAGTTTCTGTGCGGGAGTGGGAGCTCCGTGTTCCAGCACAAAACCTCCCGCTCCCGAGGAAACACTGTCCCTTTGTGCCTGCACAGCCCAGCAGCAAACCTTGCGTTGCTGAGAGAGGTTGAACTTTTGAATATTGCCACTGAAAGCTCCTTTCTGCGGGAATCCGGCCGCTCATGGGGACAACAACCGGGCATTGTGGGACCCTGGGGGCCGCTGCGGCCACCGCGCTGCCCCCGCTCCGCTGCTCTGTGGCCGCTGCCAAAGTCATTTCGCTTCCCTGAGCAACCCCAGGGACTTTTGTGTTTGGGTATTTTCCCCTCCTTGAAGTCCCGACGCTGCTGAATAGGGACTGGAATTCGGCTTTCTGCAGGCTCGGTGCGCTCAGACTCCGCTGAGAGCGGTCCCCGCATGGCTCTGGGACCGGGCTGGGACCCTGCTTCTTCTTCTTCCCTCCTCCTCCTCCTCCTCCTCCACCCAGGCTGGGATCGGGGTTTGGAGACGGAGGATGGAGTGCAGTCACCTCGGGAGGCCACCGAGGGCAGCCCCAGGACGGTGGGGAGCTCAATGCCCTCTTTTCCAGCCTTTCCCATGTCAGGGAGTTTCTCCCACTGGATGGCGGCATTAGAGCGAAGAAATCTCTCCGGGAGAGGGGATCTCCACCGGGGAGATTTTTGGCCCTGGTTTTCTGGCTCCCAGGGGTTTGTGCTCGGGCTGGGGATGTGTGGGTTCAGCACACTCGTGCTTGCACCATTCCTGCCACTGATCTCTGTCCTGTTCCGTGCTCCATGGTCCCTCCCAGCACCCCAAAATGGAGCCATGGAACATCCTCTGCTGAGCTCTTTCCCTGTGGGTGCTGAGGGACCTGCTGGGGACTCAGCTGGGACACCCTGAGCCATAACCAGGAGCAAAGCAGACCCAGACTGGGCAAGGAAAAGAAGTGTCAGCCCTCATGGTACACCAAAATCACAGCTTCTTGGCAAGGCACATCTCTTCTCGGCCCAAAGCCCTCCATGTTCCAATTGCTGGGCTTCAGAGGGCTCCATGTCAAAGTTACACACTCAAAAATGGCCCATTTTTGCATGGAAAAAGATTTGGGCTTTTGGTTGTAGCGGAGGATCCAAAGCTCCCAAGCACTGGAAAGCAAATCCATCCTGGCCACTTTTTCTTGCACCTCATGGTTTTAACTCCAGATATTTCAATCCACCTTTGGGATTTCATGGCTGTGGTGTTGGGCAGAGGGGCACGAGCGGTGCTGGGTGGGGAGGGAAGGTTCATGCTGGGCTGCCAAGCTCTTTGCAAATACAGTGCAGGGCAAGTGGAGGAGGCTGTTTGCTGGTCAGGGGACATCTCAGTTTACAGGCTCCCAGCTGGGCTGGCATTGTGGCACATGAGCAACCACAGATCACAGAATCACAGGAACCCCTGAGCTGGGAGGCACTCAGGGATCATCCAGTCCAACCCCTGCCCTGCACAGACACCCCAACAATCCCACCCTGTGCACCCCTGAGAGCCTTGTCCAAACACTCCTGGAGCTCTGGCAGCCTCGGGGCTGTGCCCATTCCCTGGGGAGCCTGGGCAGTGCCAGCACCCTCAGGGGGAAGAACCTTTTCCTGGTTTCAATCCTTCCAAAGCTAATCCTTCCCTGACACAGCTCCACGCTGCTTTTGCTGAATTATTTTCCCTGCACTCTGAGGACAGTTCCATACAGCATTGCAGGTGGGAGCTGTACCACAATGCCAATAAACAGGAACATTATTTTTAATATCAGCTGTGTTGCTGTTGCACTTGACCTTGGGAGCTTTTTATTTTGTAATATTTCCACAGGGAACAGGAGCTCAGCTACACTGACAATGTTCTTCTGACAAGTAACTTCTGCTCTCTTTGAGACAAGCAGGAATGACCTTCTGTGGCCAACACAAATCTTTTTGAGAACTCAGTGACAAGAGCTCTAAGCCTGAAATAAATCAGGGTGTTCACTCAAACAGCACGGACAGAAGAACAGCAGCAAGCGGGGTTTCAGTCCCACATTCCTCCAGAACTTTGATGGAATACTGCTCTGGATGAAGTGGTTTCCTCCTGGAAATTGGAATCCTTTGGCATTCTCAACACAGCTGCATCCAAACTGTGACATGGCCTGGAAAGGGTCGAGCCACAGAACTCTCAGGTGTAGCCTGGGATTTTCCCTAGGAGCTCCAGTGATGACCCAGGGATTTATGCTGGGTTAAAATGCCATCTCCAGGGTGTTTTGTCCTTGGGAAGGCTTCAGGGGTCAATCTCCTGCAGGATGCAGGCCCTGTGGTGATTTGCCATTAGAATGCACCTGGTTGGGGCTCCCAGGGACTGATGTCCCTTTTCCTCCTCATTTCCCAGGGCTTCTCCCTTCTCTTTGTCTCACAGGCTGAATGAGCCCTCAGCTGAGCTTGGGAAACTTGTGGCATGTCTGGAAGCACCAGGGTCCCACCTCCTGGGTGACTTTTAAATCCTGGCAGTTCTTACCCTGGAGCAGTGTGGAGAGCCCAGCTCGGGGGTGCTGGGGACACTGGGGGCAGTGGGGACAGAGGGGTGACGGTGCTGGAGGTCACGGTGACTTGTCCCAGGGAGCACAGGATGATGCTGTGGGGTCAGGGCTGGGTTTGTTTGATAAAATAAGGGAGGAAATTGGGGAATTTCCAAGGTAGTCTGGAAAGGAAAAGGCAAAGAAATCAGAGGGTCAGTCCTGCTCCTTGTGAGCACAGGATGAGAATCCACAGGAGAGGGCTGCAGGACCTCACACTGATCCCAGGCTGATCCCAGACCTTATCCCATCTCCTTCAAAAAGCAAGGATTTGCAGCTTGGTGCAAGCCCTGGGAGCTGGAGGGTGTGAGGTGAGGAAGACCCCCCCCAGTTACACTGGCAGGGCTCCAACCCACGACCCCAAAGTGAGCTTTAAGATTTGCTAATCTCAAAATATTGTTGGCACTCGGGGCAGTGATTTACTGCGTGTTTCACCGCAGCAAGTACTTTCCAAAAGGCCATGCTAAGTTTACACTGGAGCTGCTGGGATCAGATAACTGGTCCTGGCAGCTCCCTCCTTGTCCCCCATCCCTCCTGCTGGCTGTGCTGGGGGTGCAAAAGGACAGCACAGCTTCTCCTGCACCCCACAAGAAAAAAGGGACCAGCACAGGTGTTTCTCCTTGTGCAGGTGGTGGGACAAGACGGGCTCATGGCCTGGCTTGTGGGAAGATGTGAACTTTTGGAGAGTCCCAATGACTTACACAGCGCCAGGGACAGAAAAGAGCCATCCCTGGTGCCCAGCCCGGCCACGTCCACCTCCCCAGGGCTTTGCAGGTTATGAAAATAAATCAGCTTCTCACCTTCAGTGCCAGCCAGAGCAGGCAACAGCTTTGCATGTCGTTCAGCATTCCTGCAACATTTGAGCACCCCAAGAGATCCCAAGGCCTTTACAGGTGCTGGGCAGGAGCGATGGCCACCATTGCCCAGTGGGATCCTGGGGCATTTCCAGCCTGCAGAAAAGATGGGCTCCCTCAGGGTGTCAGCTGTGTCACAGAGCAAGGGGTGGGTCCCTGCATCCAGCTCACTGTGCCATGGAATCCCAGACTGCTCTGTGTGGGAAGGGACCTCAAAGCTCATCCCATTCCCATCCCCTGCCATGCCCAGGGACATCTTCCACTATCCCAGCTTGCTCCAAGCCCCATCCAACCTGGCCTTGGACACTTCCAGGGATCCAGGGGCAGCCACAGTTGCTCTGGGCACCTGTGCCAGGGCATCTCCACCCTCACAGGGAGGAATTCCTTCCCAATATTCCATCTAATGCTGCTTTCTGGCAGTTTGAAGCCATTCTCTTGTTCTGTCACTCCAGGCCCTTGTCCCCAGTCCCTTTCCAGCTCTCCTGGAGCCCCTTCAGGCAGTGGAAGGGCCTTTAAGGTTCTCCCCAGAGCCTTCTCTTCTCTACATGAACACCCCCAGCTCTCCCAGCCTGGCTCCAGAGCAGAGGGGCTCCAGCAGCTCCACGTCCCTCCTGTGCTGGAAGGCCAGGGCTGGAGGCAGCTCTGCAGGTGGGGTCTCACCAGATGGGGCAGAATCCCCCTTCCCCTGCTGCCCACGCTGTGGGATCAGCCCAGCTGGCTCAGGGGGTTTCTGAGACCCAGCTCACACAGCTGGGGCACACTGAGCACCAGCACCCCAAGCCCTTCTCCCAAGGGTGCTCTCAGATTTTGTGTGACTGGGAATTTCTCATCCTTCTTAAGAGTCAGCACTTGGGAGGCAGAAGACTCCCCATCTCTTCCTGTTGTCTTTGGATCCCTTGGGATCTCTGCCACCTCCTAACCCCCAGGAGATAAGAGCCAAAGCCACCTCCAGCCTCATCCCTGACTCTCACTGTCCTTGGTTATGTCCAGCTGGAGGTTTTGGCCTTTCCCTGCA